ATTATTTTTGAAATAATCAATTATGATTAATTAATCAAAATTAAAAAAACTATAAATAGCTTTTTGTAGACCTATAGCAAAAGTGATTTAACAATTTTAATTGTAGTATTTTTAAGTGCGTTTTTTGAGAGAAATTACTTTGAAATAGCTAAGATTATAYGCAATGTTACAGAGATAAATAAAATTTGTATCACAAAAATAAAAACTCCCCTCTTGTACAATACAAAATCAAAACTAAAGAGTTGACTTTCATATTTACTGTACACAAATACGAAATAGCTTGGCACTCTCAAAAAAATTGTTTGAAATAGAAGTAACAAGCGTATTAGCAATGCATCGCCATTACCCTACGAAATATTCGTTTAACTACACACAAAMATTTTAGTTGCCTTCTTAACCCTTTGCGCGCGTCACTGACCCACGCACACGGGCAAACGGCGGAGCTTAGTTAGACGCKCAAGCATTTAAGTGCGCCGTAATGCTTCTTAATTGCGGTTCTATGTCAACGCAACTCATTTATGAACTTTGTTTTACCGTCACAAATGCTTTGTGTTGTTGCTATTTTTGCAGTAAATTCCCTTTTAGACGGCATAGCGTAGTACAGCAGTCGTATAATTGACGTTTACAACGCAATTTGCAAAGAAATACTTAAACACGGCTAAATAACTTGTGGCATCTTGCACAAAATATGCGTTTTAGTAAAGCGATTTTTTTGTTGCGGCCATTCATGCATTTGTTGCGCCTTTCAACYGCCACACATTTGCTTATGTACACGCATTACTCAATTCATTACTCGTATCGGCTCGTTAGACTTTTTTGTCTGTMTTGTGGTACAACTACATTCGCAATGCGCAATTTTACGCTTTGTGGAAATTATTTGCATTTCGTGTAGCCTACGGACTAGTTTAGAGAGGATTTTTCGCACTTCTTAACAATTAATTGCGCGATTTGTTGTTGCACATACTATAAATATAATTATTAGATACACACGAGTTTATATTAGGAAGCGCACACTTAATTGATTTATTTTGTATGGATTTTAGAAGCTAGCTTCATGTAGAACGAAATAATTGTTTGAAAATTAAAGTTCTAAGGTACTTACATATATAATTATTTTCTACGAACTGYTGGAATAATTTTGAATAATTTGTCCACTGTTGGTAAACAACAAAAGCGTGAGTGTGATTGTGATTGTGATGGTATTACTTCATTMATTTTGCTACATTATATATGTATATACATGTGTATAATTAATTTAAAAAAAAAATTTTATAATACTTGTACATAAAATATGATATTCTCAGCCCCGAAAATTATTGGTAATCAACAAGAAAACGAAATTCAATGATAATACATGGTGAACGATATTTTATAAAGGTATGTGATTCATCCCATGTTTCAAGACTCAAATAATTTTATGCTTTTTTTGTATTAATTTTCAACACTTAAATCAGTTAAATTGCATTTTGAATAAAAATTGTAATACTTTTTACTTTTTCGTCGATCGCAAGAGATCTAGAGATCTCTTTACCCTCATAAAGGCTAGCTTCTCTCTAGTTATGGGCTTTTAGCAGGTAATGGCACTATTGGCTGCAAGGTTGGGAATCTTACCAGGCGCTATCTGCAGATGCGGTATGGAAGAAAATGAGGTGAATAAGAGCAAGTGAACTCAAGTAGTCATTTCAAAACTTTGCCTTCTGAGGTGAAAGCAGGAGTTGAAAGCAGGAGGTCTTGATGAAAGTCGCTTTTACATCGTGTTGTTAGTAGTGTCGAAAACTGGAACAATTCATTCACAAAACCTCGTATGAGAAACCTGGTCAATCAGTTTCAACCCTTCATAACGAAAATGATGAGTAATTAGAATAAAGAGCATTCATATTTGATGGGAAGAGAAAGACGTACTGTATTATAAACTTAAAAATCGAATGAAACCTTTAATGGAGAATGCTACCGACAACAACTGAAATGAAGCGATTACAGAAAAATACACGGAATTTGTGACTAGACACAAGAAAATAATTTTTTATTCACGAGAAAGCCCGGCTTCAAGTTGAAAAACCGGTTTAAAGCTATTTGGAAAACAGGGGTTGGGAAGTTTTGACTCACTCATYTTAAAGGCCAGGCCTTGACCTACCTGACTGTCATTTATTCCAGTCAATGCAGAACGTTCTCATGGAATATGGACCAGAATAAAATTACAAAAATTTGCCAGCAATCAGTACTTTTGAAATGGAATTCAAAAATTGCCGGAAAGATAAGAAGAAATTTAAGCTTCAGATAGGCTATATTTTGAATGGCAATATTTTAAATGGCAATATTTTGAATAAATTGATATTTTGAATATTTTGTTATTAAATTAGCATGAATATCGATATATTTTTGATCGGAGCAGTACTTCGTTTTACTAAGTTTGATTATTTTTTTATTTCGACGTTTCAGTTGTTTCGATATTTTCAAAAGTATACAGCTAATATAAGAATATACATCAAAATCTTGATAAGTAGTAATACATAAATCTTTAAAAATATCGATAACAACAATAACAATTTTTAAAAATGTCGATATATTTTGAAGATAAAAATTATAACAAAAATAAACAGATTTTTTCAAATTAACTGACAACATAAATTTCAGACWTGCTATTAACGTGCAGTTTAAGACCGCAAGTCTACATAACTAATATATATATTTTTTTTATTTCTTTTATTGGTTTTCAGAATAATTTTTTTTAGTTTTCAGAAGAAAATAAATAATAAAATATTCCTACTTAGTGGAAGCGATATTTTTGAGCGGCCAAAAAATACAACAGAATTTTGAATACTTTTATTTTCTTAAATACTAATATATTTCTCCATTTAACTTGCAACTCAAAGTGAGCTGAACTCAAGAATTTCTCACAGTTGAAAAGTGAAAGTAGAAGTTACCTCCAAAAGACAAAATAAATATTAAAAATTTTTTTCGAACAGAAAATGCGAATATACGCATGTGCCTTTGGGTTGGGTTYACTAAAATGAAGAGGATACTTTTCTATAATATCTTAATTGTTCATCTCCAAGTTTTTAAGTCATAACACATACACCATTTTAAGTTACAACAACATTATAAGGTACTCGCTTTTTTATTTTAAAAGTTTTGTATTTTTTTATTTCATTTAATTATTCTAGAATTTATGGAAAGTTATTACTTTTATATGAAAGACAATATTCAAATATTTTCAGCAATTTTTTCTTGATTTTTTTACAAGAGTATGTTTTTTTCGCCTCTTTCATATTTTTCGTAAAACATTATGTTGAAGAAAAACTTGTAATTTTTTTTAATGAAACTATCTTTTTCACTATAAATATTATCCATAACAACTTGTTACATTTTTTCGGATATGTCTGAACAAATATATTTTATTTATATTAATAGGTTTCAAGGTTTGCATTTTATTTGTCACCAAGGCTAAACTTTTTATCTCTTTTACTTTTTATCATTATACGTCTGCATAAATTTCCTCTTTCTTTACCTTTAACATCACATTCACACTTTTTTATCAGCACAATATTTATCAACCCTTTGTCTCTACGCGCTTAATTGCTTCGAAATAACACGCATAATATATTATAATATTTTGCATTCGCATTCAAATATGTCACCAATACATACCGCCGAAGTCTCGCTCGACCAAATGGTAATAGCGCTGTATCAGTCCCGTATAATTCCAATCAACATGGTGCGATTTGAATTCGTCCAATGCTATGGACGCAATCTCAGCGGCCATATCGAAGCGCGAAGTTATGTTGCTATTCATTTTGACTGTGTTTTTGGTGAATTACTTAATAGGCGCTAATATATTGTAACTTAGTTTATTTATTATTATATTTATTAATTATTCTAAACTTCTTTAACACTTTGTCTGCATGGCTAGAAAGCACATTCTATTTAGCATATTCTAAATACTAAATGTTGCGTATACGCAACCACGTTCAATTCACTAAGTTCTAGAATCCACAGCTGTCTCTTATACACATCTAGATGTGTATAAGAGACAGAAATAGTCCATTCTATGCACTTTTCGCGTATAATAATTCAAAAATTATTTTTTTGATAATTTATTTATTTTTTCTTTAGAGCAAAATAGCACAAAATTTAACGGAAATCGTTTCTGGTGAGCACTAGCATTCGAAAATTGTTATTATTTTGTTACTTAATTATTCTAAACTTCTTTAACACTTTGTCTGCATGGCTAGAAAGCACATTCTATTTAGCATATTCTAAATACTAAATGTTGCGTATACGCAACCACGTTCAATTCACTAAGTTCTAGAATCCACAGAGTATTGCTTTGTATTGTACAATATGTAGTCGCTTGTAGTCGCTTTTGTTAATATTGTTTCACCAAACCGCACCGTATGAATGTTTATGCTCAACTGACTGCAAAACTTCTCGACAATCACAAGATAAAATAAATCTTTTTTGCCAAATGCGCAAAGACGCCGTCGAATTGCAATACAAAAGCACAAAACGCACACAGCGACTAGAAGGCAGAGAACGCAGCGCTAGGAGCAGACGCACAGCTTAACGATCGTTTACACGAGCCAATACAACAGCAAAGGCCACAATAATTCGCAAAAACACTGCGGTTGGCTGTCGAAAAACCAAAAACGAATTAACTTAATACGGAAAGGGAGCGCAGTCGCACACAACGACACCAAAATATCACAAAAGTCGAAAAATTAAAACCAAAGCAAAGCAAGCAAAGTCAAAAGTCAAACGAAGTTGTTGCCAAAGCAGCTATGGCGGCAAAATCAGCACCGGTAGTCGGTAGTCGACGATCGCCTTCAATGCGAAAGATAATCAAAGCGACGAAGCAGTCAAGCAGCTCTGTATGCGCAGCGACGCTGGCAGCGCACTCTGTTTWGTTTTTGTAAGCAAAGTTAAGGGTGTTTGTGTTGGTTCTTTTATTTGCGTTTGTATTTGCTTTTGCGATCTTTGRTTGTCGAGGTGTCAGGCTTCACTAATACATTTATATTTTAACGAAAACACTGTTATAACTTTAATGGAGTTCGCGTCCGCTCGTTTGGGAGTGAACGCTGTTCGCCGTTTGTCCACTTCTAGCGCGGTTCTTGGGCAGCCAGCTTTTGCTGTTGTTGTGCTGAAAACATACTTCCACTTCTGTGTATGTGCTGTCTCTTATACACATCTGTTCTTGGGCAGCCAGCTTTTGCTGTTGTTGTGCTGAAAACATACTTCCACTTCTGTGTATGTGTGTGTGTGGAAGCAAGTGGATTTGTACATATTAATTTATTATTGCTGTTATTTGGTCATATTTGTTTGTTACTGCAAACAGGAAAAAACGTTAATTTCGGCTGCACCGAAGCTAATGTACCCTTCACAGGTGTGTTCAGTTTGTATGAAAGCTATATGCTATAATAATCCGATCTGAACAATTTTTTCGGAGATTATCCTATTATCTTAAGCATAAAAGAACTTGATTCTGATCGTTCAGTTTGTATGGCAGCTATATGTTATAATGGTTCGATATCGGCAGTTCCGACAAATGAGCAGCTTCTTGAAAAGAAAATGACGTTTGCTAAATTCAAAACGATATGTAAAAAACTGAGGGACTAGTTCGTATATATACAGACAGACGGACAGACAGACAGACGGATATGGCTAAATCGACTCGGTCACCGACGCTTCCTTCTGGGTTTTAGAAACTTCATGGCAAACTTAATATACCCTGTTCAGGGTATTAAAATACCAAAAATTAAATATTGTTTCTGCCACAATACAGAAGCCGATCATAGGGTGACAGGTGAAGGAAAAAAGTATGCGGTAATAAACAAAAATGTTTCTGCAATTTAAAATGTATGAAATATTAACGAATCCACCAAATAACTATTTTTCACAACTAAAAACGAGTTGTAATTAGAGAAGGGAGACAAATGTTACAAAAAAATGTTTATCCACCTAGTGGTAGTATTTTGTGTACTACTTAATATTGGGTAGTCGAAAAAGTCTTTTCGTATTTTGTCAATAGATGTCGCTACAGCCGTATATCTCCAGTGCCGTRCCATATATTGTTGTAAAGATGAGATTTTAGATTTAATTTAACAAAACAAAAAAAAAAAAAATTAAATCCTTGGACGTTAAAAAAAAGTTACAGCAGTTCAAAAATTAGTGAAAATATTGCARAAATTCGGTATATTTCGAAATATTTGAATAAAAGTGTTAATAATGCCACGCAAGCCACCAATGAAATTTGTATGCAAGATGCACGTCGCTCTCCTATTGTTCGACGTCCTATTGTTGAAAAAGTCGATAAAATTATGAAAAAGATTGACCAGGACCATCATATTATATAAGCAGTCTTGACATCACTAAGGAACTTAACATTCATCACCAAACATTTTTGAAGAATTTAAAAAATGTTGGCTACAAAAAGAAGCTCGATGTTTAGGTACCACATGAATTGTCTGTGAAAAATTTAATGTATCGAATTCTTAACAGGAGACAAGAATGAATCAAATATGAAAATAATGTGCGAAAAAGATCATGGTACAAGCRTGGTGAAGCTCAACAAATGGTGGCAAATTTCATTATTGACGCCTCCAAAAGTTGTGCTGAGTGTTTGTTGCAATTAAAAAGAATCATCCAATATGAGCTGCTCCAGCTTGGTCAAACGATTGATTAAAAACTTTACTGTCAACAACTGATAAGATTGAAGTAATCAATCGAAAGAAACGGCCASAACTGATCAACAGAAAGAGCTTCGTTTTSCATCAGGACAATGGTAGATAACACACATCTTTGATGAAATTTGTAAAATTAGAGCATATTTTCTTCATATTAAAGTAATGCAGGAGAGCTTAATATATTAATTGTAGATGTAAAAATTATTGTTGTTTACGCTGAAATGAAGGACAAATACTGAAAAAGACACACAAGGATGACAGCTTTCCAACGCATGTTCGAATATTGGAACAATATAATGATAATCAGCTACCCTTTTTCTGATATTAAAGCTTACACAGAGACTGTTGCCTAGAATCGCCWATAAGCTAAGTGATTCGGCTACAGTAGAGTCGGTTTGAAAATAATTTCGCAGAGAGATTTAATAAAAGGAGCACGAATTTGAGAATTTTGCACTTTCCATTTGCTAAACAGAAAATGTATTCAGGATATCCATGAAATAATATTGCACGAGCCAAAAGCGAGTAATTAGACTAAAATTTGTACCGAAATCACCATTAAATGTGAAACATTTGGGAAGCCACTTGTTTTTTGGAACCGCAGACATCAAACCATTATAGCATATAGCTGRCATACAAAYTGAAMGAGCGATCGAAGTCCTTATATGGAAAACGTTTTCATTTTACGAGATATCATCACGAAATTTGGGTCATAACTCATCCTTAGGCAATATTGTAATGTSTGAAAGCATTAWYMAGATYGGTGCAACTTAAGTTAAGGTTTTTTCTACTTTTTAATAAATATAAGCTTTGTAGCGTAGTTGGAGGCATCACAAAACATTTACCACTTAGGAGGTATCCCCATAAGCTAGTTATGGTATTCTAGCGATCGAGTCTCTTCTGTCTTCTTTAGTATATAAGCTTAGCCAATCAATTAGGAGCTTCATGGATGCGGCCATAATATGGTAGGAAAATTAGTCGCATAATAAAATTACTTACAACTTAGTGATATTTTTATATTGAGTTAGGTCACAATTGATCAACAGAAATGGAATAGGCAAATATCAAACTTTAATTTCTTTTATCGAGTAAACAACAAAAATGCTTATAAATTAAAGTTAATTTTATRAAGCTTTTAATGAAAATCAAATAATACTTTGGTGAGGCTCTAATTTGTAAAAACCACCTCAGTTGCTGCCCTTAATTGGTTAAACCAAATTTTGCTGTGCAGACCAAAGAAAAAATATTACACATATGGCAACAAACTTAAATGGCCTAAAACAACAAGAGTTCGCCCTTTCAATTTCCCTTGTAATATATCACAATCACACATACAATCGAAGTATTTTTAAATTTTAATATCACATATCCAATCAAAATATTTTTAAACTTTAAAAAGTTTCTGGCGTTTTTTCTTCGATGGTAAATATGTATTCCCTGGCATGCTGAGGTTAATGTGCCAACAGCTTTGAATGAAGTCGTGGTTAGACCTCACCAATTCACACACTGATTACATTATTTACACTTCAAATTKATATGTTTATTGTTTGACTCGGTATTTGTTTTGTTTTAGTGTATATTTAGGGTCATACTATATATGTATATACATATATATAGTTTTTAACGAGCAAATATTTTCATTCTCATTTGTTCATTTACAGACGAGGTAACGATATTTCTGATTATTGGCCTGAACTTTTTGCTTTTTTTTCAAGTTGAAGCAAACTATGCGCTGCCTTTTGTTGTTAGATTTTAGCATTACTTCGTAGAAAAATTACTGATATGAATTAGATAATGGAAATTGGTTAAAATCAAGACCTTAAAAAATAAGGTTTGGCATGGTCAAGCTTAACGGATTTCCTATTACGCCGACTTAAGTCCGCTAAATTCCGGGAAAATTGTTCAAGAGCTTTTCAGAGAATACCAAATGGCAAGAGCGATGATTGTATGACTGCAATCAGTGTGGACAAGGTCATAAAGCTTGCAAAATTAATGCGCAACAACGCTCTTGGAAAAGAATACATCCTTTTACGTTCTCTGAAACTAATAAAGACTTCATTTTAAGACATCAGCTCTACTTGTTATTCTTTAGCAAGCAAAAGCGCGTGTGTAMACTATTAATTTAATCACTTTTAAATTACATATTTACCTTCTTGTAATTTGATGTTATTGTAATATTTTCCAGTTTCTAGACTAATAGCAATTAAAAATACTTTGAGCTATTATGTGCAGTAACTATTACT